AGGTCTGGCAGCATTATGTAGGCGTGTGAGGGGGGAGGTGGTGGTGGAGGCGTGTGAGGGGGGGGGGTGGTGGTGGAGGCGTGTGAGGGGGGGAGGTGGTGGTGGAGGCGTGTGAGGGGGAGGTGGTGGTGGAGGCGTGTGAGGGGGGAGGTGGTGGTGGAGGCGTGTGAGGGGGAGGTGGTGGTGGAGGCGTGTGAGGGGGGAGGTGGTGGAGGCGTGTGAGGGGGGGGGGTGGAGGCGTGTGAGGGGGGGGGGGGTGGTGGAGGCGTGTGAGGGGGGGTGGTGGTGGAGGCGTGTGGGAAGGGGGTGGTGGTGGAGCCGTGTGTGAGGGGGGAGGTGGTGGTGGAGGCGTGTGTGAGGGGGGGAGGTGGTAGCGTGTGAGAGGGAGTGGTGGTGGAGGCGTGTGAGGGAGGGGGGGTGGTGGTGGAGGCGTGTGAGGGGGGGTGGTGGTGGAGGCGTGTGAGGGGGGGTGGTGGTGGAGGCGTGTGAGGGGGGGGGTGGTAGTGGAGGCGTGTGAGGGGGGTGGTGGTGGAATCGTGTGAGGGGGGTGGTGGAGGCGTGTGTGGGGGGGTGGTGGTGGAGGCGTGTGTGGGGGGGGGGTGGTGGTGGAGGCGTGTGTGGGGGGAGGTGGTGGAGGCGTGTGTGGGGGGGGGTGGTGGAGGCGTGTGTGGGGGGGAGGTGGTGGAGGCGTGTGTGGGGGGGAGGTGGTGGAGGCGTGTGTGGGGGGGAGGTGGTGGAGGCGTGTGTGGGGGGGGTGGTGGAGGCGTGTGTGGGGGGTGGTGGTGGAGGCGTGTGGGGGGGTGGAGGCGTGTGTGGGGGGGGTGGATGCGTATGTGGGGGGAGGTGGTGGAGGCGTGTGTGGGGGGTGGTGGTGGAGGCGTGTGAGGGGGAGGTGGTGGAGGCGTGTGTGGGGGTGGTGGTGAAGGCGTGTGAGGGGGGGGGTGGTGGTGGAGGCGTGTGAGGGTGGTGATGGAGGCGTGTGAAGGGGGTGGTGGTGGTGGTGGAGGCGTGTGAAGGGGGGGTGGTGGTGGTGGAGGCGTGTAATGGTGGTGGTAAAGGCGTGTGAGGGGGATGGTGGTGAAGGCGTGTGAGGGGGGGTGGTGGTGGAGGCGTGTGAGGGGGGAGTGGTGGTGGAGGCGTGTGAGGGTGGTGGTGGAGGCGTGTGAGGGGGGTGGTGGTGGTGGAGGCGTGTGAGGGGGGTGGTGGTGAAGGCGTGTGAGGGGGGGGGGTGGTGGTGGAGGCGTGTGAGGGGGGAGGTGGTGGAGGCGTGTGTGGGGGGTGGTGGTGGAGGCGTGTGAGGGGGATGGTGGTGAAGGCGTGTGAGGGGGGGTGGTGGTGGAGGCGTGTGAGGGGGGAGGTGGTGGAGGCGTGTGAGGGAGGTGGAGGCGTGTGAGGGGGATGGTGGTGAAGGCGTGTGAGGAGGGGGTGGTGGTGGAGGCGTGTGAAGGGGGTGGTGGAGGCGTGTGTGGGGGGGAGGTGGTGGAGGCGTGTGAGCGGGGGATGGTGGTGGAGGCGTGTAAGTGGGGGAGGAGGTGGTGGAGGCGTGTGAGGGGGGGGGGGAAGGTGGTGGTGGAGGCGGCGTCCCGGCCAACAGCGGCACCTGAGGTCTGAGGGAGGGGATGCTCAACAATTCATCACCTCGGGGGCTTGAAGCTGCTAGCGCTTTCCAGGTCGCCTGGCCTGCTCGCATGGCCCTGGTTCCTCCCCTCCACTCCCTAGCCACACCTCTCATCAACCGCTCCACTCCCTAGCCACACCTCTCATCAACCCCTCCACTCCCTAGCCACACCTCTCATCAACCGCTCCACTCCCTAGCCACACCTCTCATCAACCCCTCCACTCCCTAGCCACACCTCTCATCAACCGCTCCACTCCCTAGCCACACCTCTCATCAACCGCTCCACCACACAACCACACATCCTCTCTACCATACAACCACGTGCCTCTCTCTCCAGCCCGTCCTCCTAAGGTTTCCCAAAGGCAAGCGTCCTCACCTAACCTACCAGAGGACCCAAATCAGAAAACGGGACAGTACGTCACTCTCGCCAGCCGCTTCCATGTTCTGGTACGACAATTTGTGGTCTTAGGTAACGCATACGATCGGAAAGCGACGTTCTTGATTGATTGATAAAGATTAAGCCACCCAAGAGGTGGCACGGGCATGAATAGCCCGTAAAACGCGACGTTCTTTGAGGCAGGACAGGTTACGCTACACCACATTACCTGTCCCTGTCACTCTGATGCCAGTCCCCCCAGTCACGTACGTCCTGAGACAGTCCCCCCAGTCACGTACGTCCTGAGACAGTCCCCCCAGTCACGTACGTCCTGAGACAGTCCCCCAGTCACGTACGTCCTGAGACAGTCCCCCAGTCACGTACGTCCTGAGACAGTCCCCCAGTCACGTACGTCCTGAGACAGTCCCCCCATTCACGTACGTCCTGAGACAGTCCCCCAGTCACGTACGTCCTGAGACAGTCCCCCCAGTCACGTACGTCCTGAGACAGTCCCCCCAGTCACGTACGTCCTGAGACAGTCCCCCAGTCACGTACGTCCTGAGACAGTCCCCCATTCACGTACGTCCTGAGACAGTCCCCTATTCACGTACGTCCTGAGACAGTCCCCCCAGTCACGTACGTCCTGAGACAGTCCCCCCAGTCACGTACGTCCTGAGACAGTCCCCCAGTCACGTACGTCCTGACAGTCCCCCAGTCACGTACGTCCTGAGACAGTCCCCCAGTCATGTACGTCCTGAGACAGTCCCCCCAGTCACGTACGTCCTGAGACAGTCCCCCAGTCACGTACGTCCTGAGACAGTCTCCCAGTCACGTACGTCCTGAGACAGTCCTCCCAGTCACGTTCGTCCTGAGACAGTCCCCCCAGTCACGTACGTCCTTAGACAGTCCCGCCAGTCACGTACGTCCATAGACAGTCCCCCCAGTCATGTACGTCCTGAGACAGTCCCCCCAGTCACGTACGTCCTGAGACAGTCCCCCAGTCACGTACGTCCTGAGACAGTGAGACCCCCCAGTCACGTACGTCCTGAGACAGTCCCCCCAGTCACGTACGTCCTGAGACAGTCCCCCAGTCACGTACGTCCTGAGACAGTCCCCCAGTCACGTACGTCCTGAGACAGTCCCCCAGTCACGTACGTCCTGAGACAGTCCCCCCAGTCACGTACGTCCTGAGACAGTCCCCCAGTCACGTACGTCCTGAGACAGTCCCCCAGTCTCGTACTTCTCTACATAAGCATAAAATATAAGCTTACCATAGCGACCAGCGCTGCAAGCTGGCTGAGGGCTGGAGCAGCTTAGTCTGGTCTGTCATGGTCAAAAAAATATATATTAAATTAAATGATGGGTTATGGAAATTAAAATGCATTTTTAACTCCAAAAGTTAACTCTATTGGCGGGTGGGAGACCGACTATAAGAGTAAGCCTTGGCGTGTGTAGGTGGCCGGAGCGAGCAAGGTCGTGGGGGGACCTCACACACCGCCATCACAAAGTTCCAGGCGGTCGTGTACAGTGAATGAGAGTTAAACTGACCGTAAACACTTGTGGCGGTGGAGACAGGAGCGACCTCGACGCCCCCCAGGTGTTGGTGAGGGTTCCTGCAGCACCCGCGCGGTCGTACACACCACCTGTTGCACCTCGTGCATGCATGGGGGGGTGGGTGGTTGAGTCTGGTGTACCATCAAGGCAGTCTCCGTGGTGTAGTGGTAAGACACTCGCCTGGCGTTCCGCGAGCGCTATGTCATGGGTTCGTATCCTGGCCGGGGAGGATTTACTGGGCGCAATTCCTTAACTGTAGCCTCTGTTTAACGTAACAGTAAAATGTGTACTTGGATGAAAAAACTATTCTTCGTGGCGGGGATCGTATTCCAGGGACCATAGGATTAAGGACTTGCCCGAAACGCTACGCGTACTAGTGACTGTACAAGAATGTAACAACTCTTGTATATATCTCAAAAAAAAAAAATCAACGCCACTAATGGGGTCTCTGTTGACCTTTGTTAGTCTTGTAGTTTACCATCGCGTGTGCGTGTGTGTATACTCACCTAGTTGTGCTTGCGGGGGTTGAGCTTTGGCTCTTTGGTCCTGCCTCTCAACTGTCAATCAACAGGTGTACATATTCCTGAGAATGTGTGTGTGTACTCATCTAATTGTGCTTGCGGGGGGGTTGAGCTTTGGCTCTTTGGTCCTGCCTCTCAACCACCAGGTGTACTGGTTCCTGAGCCTATTGGGCTCTATCATATCTACACGTGAAACTGTGTATGGAGTCAGCCTCCACCACATCACTGTCTAATGCATTCCATCCGTTAACTACTCTGACACTGAAAAAGTTCCTTCTAACGTCTCTGTGGCTCATGTGGGTACTCGGTTTCCAAGTCCCTGTGTCCCTGTTTACCTGTGTCCCCTTGTTCGTGTCCCACCAGTGTTGAATAGTTTATCCTTGTTTACCCGGTCGATTCCCCTGAGGATTTTGTAGGTTGTGATCATGTCTCCCCTTACTCTTCTGTATTCCAGCAGTGTCGTAAGGTGCTATTTCCCACAGCCTTTCCTCGTAACTCATGCCTCTTAGTTCTGGGACTAGTCTAGTGGCATACCTTTGGACTTTTTCCAGCTTCGTCTTGTGCTTGACAAGGTACGGGCTCCATGCTGGGGCCGCATACTCCAGGATTAGTCTTACATATGTGGTATACAAGGTTCTGAATGATTCCTTACACAGGTTCCTGTGTGTGTGTGTGTGTGTGTGCGTGCATACTGTTACGGTTTAAGTATGTGTGTGCACGTCATAAATCTTTCTACACATGTTCACAAGCATTATTCAAACAAAAGTATATTTTAACATGCATTTTCTTCTGTGTCAGCAGCCTTAATTTCTCCTCTTTCTCTTCAACTTTATCTCCCTCACCCCCCTCCTCCTCCTCCTTCTCTTCTCGCTCTTCCTCCTCCTGTTGATCTGCCCCCTCACTCTCCTCATTTTGCTTGTCTTCCTGCTAGTCACCAGTCTATTCGTTCTCTTTCTTCTCTTCTTCCTTCTCCACCGGGTTTTCTCCTCCTGGTTTTCTCCTCCGGGTTTTCTCCTCCGGGTTTTCTCCTCCGGGTTTTCTTCTTGGTTTTCTTCTCCTGGGTTTTCTCCACCGGGTTTTCTCCTCCGGGTTTTCTCCTCCGGGTTTTCTC